AAAAAAGTCAATAATAACCTACTGATCTCATCTAAATGAGATACAACACTGGCTTAAGGCATCGAAACAAGACCGAGATAGTGAAAATTTCCCTACTACTTAAAATATTTCATTAGACATTGATTTTGAGACAAAAGAAGTAAGGAAATGAATGACTCACTCGTTGGTCATGCTGGGAAGTTGGGGGATGTGCGACGCGCTGAGTGTGCACGTGTGGCCTAAATGACCTTGAACGTGTGGAACAAGATGAAAAGATAGTTGCACCTCCGTGGACCACCTTCCATGTTACGCGTCCACTATCCATGGAAGTATTCCGATTTGGGGGATTTGCAAGGTATATGTGATACTATGTGAAGCTTGAGAAGAGAAGCGACATCAAGAATGGATGTAAAGCTGATTTTTGATTTTCGTATATCTGACCCTTTGATCCAGAGATTTGTTGTTTAAATAAGAAGCATTTGTAGTTTACGAGAAGTTCTATGTTTGACGGTGAAACTTTTCTAAGCCGACACCTAGAAATCGTCCTCCGTTACATTTTTAGAGATGCTTCCTTTGACTTTGACTTGATTGAAGATGGTGACTCTAAGAGGAACGGTTTGGCACTGCCCCTTCAATTTCACTCTTCATCAATTCGATAATCACTACAGTTACGCACATGACTACTTAGCCTTTAATAAGTGTGAACAAGGCCGAAATTCTCTGCTTTTCAAAATACCCACAACAAATCTCAATGAGAACGGTTTATTGATTCCTGCTCATTTATAATCTGATGAAATTTCATTAATAAAATCAGCAGTTAATAGTTTTATTTGGGTTTTAATCAGCTCTATTGATCGAGAAAAAACTACTGCAGTACAATGATTATTGCAACCATCAGACCCAACACATTTGAACCTCGTCTTTCGCTTTTCTTTCAAACAAGATTTGTAACTATTTCATTATAAATTCCCAAACTAAATAAACACACGATGTACATAAAAACAACAGCAAGGCATCCTGAACCCTAGCGTAATAAATGGAGCAGCAATGAGAAAATCACAATTAAAAAAAGACAAAACTGTCTACTTAACAACTATGGGCAGGACTCCTGCAACAACTGATGAATGATAACCCAGCATTTTATCACAAGCATCAACGGTGAGAGCGACGAGGATTGCAAAATGAAATAATAAAAATGCGAGTACAAAGACTCGATAAGTCATCAAATTCTGTCATTCCCTCTTTGCAGTGACTCCTACAGAGTGGCAGCGAAGAGGGACACATGAGGTTTTAATAGCACGTAAATCACTAAGACAGGCAACGCTTGGCTCGAAAATCACCAGCAAAATGACCGTATTCGAAGACGAAAAACCTTGGAAACACGTAATGCGAGAAACACAAGTAGGAAAAAACAGGAATGAGTAAATATTTGAGAAGTTATATTCGTAGTTGAAATAGGGCGAAATTCAATAAAATCGCTTTCTCTGACGTTCACTCCTTTTCTGAAAGAAAATCACGCCAAATCCGAGAACACCGACTAAGACAATTATACCGACGACGACTAGTACGATAGTGCCAAACCACCCAAGTTTGGAGGGACGTGGATTATCAATATGATCACGAGGAGCGGCATGGAATTCCGCTCGAGGGACAACGTCTTTGCGGTCTCCCTAAAACACTTCTTTCTATAACAAAATTACATTATCATTACTGATAGTATTTCAAAAGGATCTATAAAGCCTATCGCTTGCAAAAGGTCCAGTGTTTCTCAGCCAATATGTTCAGTCAGTTAGCTACGACCCAAAATCATGGTTAATTATAAAGGATAAACTCCCTTTGATATACTGACACAATATATGCTGCGACAACCTGTTCTACTTTACTAGCGACAAATGGCAAAAATAAGATTAACATTTGCCAGTCACGAAAGATAGGACTAGGCAGAAGGTTGAAGGTTGATGAGGATAAAAAAACCAACCTCTCCAACGCGATCGACATGGGCAAATTCTTGCTCAAACATTTTCACTCCAATGACATCGTGATTATCTGAAAGGCCAAATAGTCATTCAAAAAGTATTTTTGTATGAGAAAAAAAAAGCTATAATATTAGAACTTGAAAAAATTTTCCAAAACCTGCCTGAGAGATCACCAGTAGCTGCACTTATTCCAAAATAATAACCAGTTGGAAGCTGCACATTGTTCACACTAAGGCACAACTTCCATTCGAACTTTCCAGCAATATCCGTAAAAATCTAGAACATGGAGGCTGATCAAAAGTTAACTTTAAAAAAACCTTAAACTCTTACCGATAGAGTATCTCCTACATATCTAATAAGAATTTGCGTCTCATGATCCTTATTCCGGAATTTTGCTTCACATCCTTGAGAAAAAAAAATAACATATTGTGAGAAAGGGAAAAAAAAACTTTATAGCGGTGATAAACGGATACTACGTTACCAGTGTGCTCTCCACCCAGTTGAGTATGAGTCCCGTCTTTATCGTGGTCGTAATGCAAGCTACCATCCGAGACCATGGCTGATATATAAGGATGGGCGTGCTAGAAATTTGAGAAACACAAACTTTAACGCAAACAGCGGAGATCTCAAATATAGATCAGGTTTTAAAACATACAGAATGTGGCCCATTGTGGTTGCTGTAAGTGTCTAAGAAGACCCCCAAACCACGAAAGTAATCTTTTCCACCAAAAACTGGGCCCATTTTATTTGGTTCGGAAACGTACCAAATTGCCAATCCATCACCAAACAAGTCACCTAAAGCGTTTGCTACAGCACAAACAGTGATATAAGCGGA